TATTCATAAGCAGACTATATTTAAACATCAAACTTCAGAACCTGTTTTTCCGTACTGTCAACAGCATAAAATCATTTTAAAAATATGAAACTCGTCGATTCCAAATATCTCCCTATGGAAAGTTATATTGAGTTTGAAATTGATCCGGCGGTTTCGCTTCGCTGTAAATAAAACTTCAGGGATTTGCCCCAAAATTATGCTCTCGATTCCAACGTGTAGGTGTATTTATAGTCTAGTTATAAGTACGTTTTGATAATTAGCTTTAGCGCTTTTTTGATTGGGCTTTGAATTGGGAAATAAAAGGGATTACCGTGATGTATTGTGGGGTGACTCCCAACATGCCATTTATTTTTTTCCTTTTTGGAAATATACAGGGTGTATAGTATTCTTTGAATTAAAAAATCACGAAGTAACTTCACTTTTGTTAAGAAAATATGTTTGGTTTCCCTGCTATTAATGCACAAATTTCTTAAAGAAAAAAGAGAAGTCCGGAGAATGAAATTACGATCGATCTTAATGAAAAGGCTTATACATATTTTGATCAAGCTTCCGAGTTCATCAGCTTTGGGCAAAAAACAAATTCTTGAGTGTCTTGATACAAAAATTATCGGAACATTTTACTTGATAGCTGGAATCACTTCTATTTTTTTAGTGGATGTATTAACTTTTATGCAAGAAGCTCGTGCTTAAAAAAGAGTTTTTGATTTGACAAAACGATGCAAAATTCTTACGAATAAGTAATTCAGTACCTATCCAGCGCTTCGAATCTTTATTGCATCTTTAGATTAAGGGTTTGGGGATCTATTACCCAAAGGTGTTTAGAAACAGGCACATGAAGGAAAAATTATTGAATTATTTTTAAAGTCAATTTTTTGCATCAACTAATCTTGTGTCGCAGAGAAGGTTTTAAAGCAAATCACGTTCTTTACATTTTCCTTAATAAATGATCTATCGGATTTTCAAGTAAGATTACTCTCATAACTCTATATCATCTTGTATCAAACTTCCAATATATTATTTGTAAAATTTAAACCTTGTTTTCTTTATTCAAGTCGCTTTTCTACACTTTTATGCCATTTTCACTAGATCCGCTCATTTGTCAGCTTCTCAGGCTCAGGTTGAAAACACAAGTCTAAAATAAAAACAATTCATTACTCCCCATGATAATTGAATGTCTTTCACTACTTTAAAAACGTTTTTGCAATGTGCATTTCTAACAATATTTCAAAATAATAATTGAAATTATTTTTATTTTTGAACAAAACTCACTCAATTATTCGAGCACCGTTATTTTCAGATAATAGTCATTCGCAGTAAGCATTTCGAGGTTTACTGAAACAACCAAAGGCTTCAAAAATGTATCCAATATACTAAAATAGGAATAATGGGAGTTTGCAAACGCTCTGGGTATTGTTCTAGATATCGCTCACATGAGACTTGCTGGTTTCTATTCGCATTGTGCAACATGTATTCTAAGCATATCATGATTTTGGAATTGAAAAGACTATTCATGCTTTTTCGTATTGTTTTAAAAATGTTAAACCGTAATGGTTTAATGAATAGTTTTTGGCTTCATTTAATATTGCAAAATTAACTTTTATATGGCGTGATTTGAATTTCGAGTTACTATTCGTAAGGTATTGCTGGGGTTTATTTGAAAAGCACAAGATGACAGAAACAGAAAAATAAACACAAAACTGACAAAACACAGATAATGTAGATTAATTATTTAAATGGAAATACAGTAGTGTTTCATATTAAAACTAATTTGGAACACCTAGTAATATTGATTTATATCACAAAAGGTAACGCAATTTTCTCACATAATTACAGTTAGAAGAACATGGGAAAATTCATGTAAATAGTGCAGTCATTGACATAGAAGGTGGCTGCCAATATATGTCTAGTTTTTTGCCATTATCTCATTTATTCGCAGTAATATTGTTTCAAACTGTTTTTACTCTTCAAAGAGTCACAGACGAAGAAAATTACTGTATTCTCTCGAATGGATAACTATTGGCCGTCTGACACACTCAAAAATTCCAGTTCTATTGGAATTCTTTTCCGCATCTGCAATCGTGTATGTGATAAATAAAGCGCGGAATATATGCAGTTAAATTCAATCAAAATATGCGCATATATATGCATAATTTTTATTCCAAATATGCAAGTATATGCATTTATTTGGCCAAATATGTAATGGTATGCATTTATTTAACATGTGAAATTACTTTTAAAAACATACAAACATTGATTTGATGGAAAATATTTATTTCTTGAAAAAGTCAAGGAAAGCGAAGATATAAAATACATTAAAACAGAATTATAAAAACATTTTAATTTGAAATTGTATAGTAGGAATTTATAATTAAATACTTTTCAAAGTTTTCCAATAAAAATGATTGCCTCCTGTCAGTAAATATATGTTTATATACAGAAAAGGTTCTTTCAACATCTACCGATGTAATAGGACAGTATTGCAATTTGGGTAGCAAGCTATAAAGCCAAGGTGTAATTGCGTTGGATGATTTACCAACAAAAATACTGTTTACTGGGCTTTAATCGGATTATCGGAAAAATAGGCTTTACTCGGATTATCTTCTTGTAAGGCTCCAATCATAAGATGTGCGATATATCGACCACAAGCATCCGTGCTTTCATCAACAGTAATATAA